ACTCTCTCTATAACAACCAAAAGCAGAGAAATTACATATAGGGACAGAGGGTTCGTTATAGAGAGAGTGAACTGTATTAATTAATTATTTTTAGAAAATAGGTAGAAAATCCAACATCAAAAATTCTAGCTGATACTATTAATTATTAATCACCTTTTTTCAGATCTGGTAGTGTACGATCAGAAAGATTGTTATGTGACAATCGAATTATTATAATATTATTTATATTATTATTAATGACTACTGTTCTTTTCATTGTCTTAAATCACCAATTTAATTTTTTCTATATATTTTAGAAATGGAGCATGCAAACCAACCTGCAGTAAGGTTTCTATTTATTTATGCTTTCAATCTAAAAAAAAATTTCTAGTCAAGTCTTAATACTGTACATTACTTTCAAGTCAATTACAAATTGTATTCAGAAATATGGAAAACTTCAAACAGAACATAGACTGGTGATTAACTCAAAGCTGTCAAATCACAATGGTGATATAGCACGTACAAATTTTCATGTTGCTGTATGTACATTGCTAATCCATAATCTTTCAAAAATCACCATTTTATCATGTTAGCAACATTTAAAGACGGGAACCGCAATTAGCTGTCATTAAATTTTCATATGTCGCAATTAATCGAGGAGCCATCTCTAGTAGACTACTTGAAAATTTATTATTTATTCAGCAATTTATACGAACTTTATCCATTTTATTAATTAAATGCGTATCAGTGAAACCTCGATTTTTTATGAAAACAGAACCATAGATTCTATGAACATGATACATTTATATTTATGGAAAAAACATGGAAATGTATATTTATTAATATTAATATAAACAGAAAAAAACACCGAGTTTAATAAAAGTTTATTTTGTGTTGCAAAAGTTAACTTATAATATGGGACATACTGCAACAAAACCAAGATAAAGTGAAAATCGTGTCACTTGCAAGAATTGCGGTTAAAGGATTTGCACACCATAGCAAGTTGTTATTTGGATTAGTAATTTCTTATAAATTGAATTTTAATATGTAAAAATTTAAAAAATCTTGAAAATACATTTAGACAAATAAAAGTTGGTAAAATTTTATAGTTGAAAAGTAATCAAAAAAATCGACATGTCATGAAAACCATCAACAATTACTTAAGAAATAGCCGAACAAACTAGAAAAAGAAAAAATCGAGTGGATAAACATCTACCAAGTCGAGAAGATAGGCTAGATGTATTTAATGTTTACAACCGCATGCATATGATTATTAAATTACTTGATGAAAATTTTTATCCAAGTATTAGCTGGCCAAAGTTTTTTTACTGGCTGACATCACTAGCTGAAAACAGTTCATTTTCAGTATGTTTTATGTTAATATTAATATGGGAAGCACACGGAAAACGTTCAATAGACGGAAATCTATTTTTTCCCGTGTTAGTATTGTATGTTTTCCATGACGGAAAAATGCTATATTTTCTGTATCAAGTATGTAAAAACAGAAAACACACGGAAAAAAATATTCTGAAAATGATTTGACTTTTTTTACACCAAAATATTAGGAATTACACTTGGCGCTAACTTTGTCAAATTAAATTATTATATAATAAAATAATAAAAATACATCATAAAACAATAATAAATAATAAAATTAAACCAAAACATATAATAAAAACTATTTAATATTATGATAGCAACAACCCCCCACACAGAAATAGCCAGAGGAAAATGCATAAGTATATACAGCACCCTTATGGACAATTACTACCTGCAGTCTGAACATCAGAAATGGTGTTGTTTGGAGAAAAAGGGAGCCTGGCTTTTGTTTTTTCTGGTGGACGGTACACCGAAAGGTGTCAAATAGTTAAACGAAACAAAAAATTATCGAACTAGAAGCCAAAATAACTAAATTACAATAATAACGAACACGAAGATGAGTATCACAAAATTTTTCACTTTTTTTAAATAACTATTGCGTGGTGGAAAGTAAGACATGAATGATTTATTAAAAAATAATTGATTATTTGTTAATTTTAATTTAATTTTAATCGTAGAATGAGAAAAAATTCAGATGAAGGTTTTTTGCGGTGATTTATTACTCATTTTTAATCATAAAAAAACTGAATTAAACAATATTAAAATTAAAATATTTATCTTTCGCGACAAGAGAATTTTGTAAAAAAATTTTGATTATTCAAACACTAAATTTCTAAATGAATTATTTCTTCGCACTTTTTAATCTTTCAAGAAAACTTGTTCTTTTTGTTTTTTGATCCTTTTTAGGCTGGACTGGATTAGATGGTTTCGGTTTAACTGGAGTCATCCAGCAGTCTGTAAAGTATTCTATTATAGGTGGCGGTGTTTTCTCACGATCTATATTTTTTAATTCTTCTAATAGATCACTTTCCTCAATTGGATCACATAAACCCAAAATCCGAAGATTATTCTCTGTTATTTGCTGTTTAAGAAGCTTAAATAATTAATAAAGTTATAAAAAAAAAAATTAAGATTGAAAATTCAAGAACATATTTTTTACCTTATAAGAATAAATTTTAGCTAATAGCTTCAAATAATCATTAAG